ACCTTGGCTTGCAGATCACCCGGGACAGAGCACGCCGCACCATCACACTGACTCAGTCACACATGGTGCAGCAGGTCCTTCAGCGCTTCGGCTTCACCTGGTCCTCCGCACAGTCCACTCCTCTTGCTACAGGTCACTCACTCTCAGCTCCACCTTCGGACGAGTCCGTAGAGTCGAGTGGTCCTTACGCAGAGCTAGTGGGCTGCCTCATGTACCTGATGACCTGCACTCGGCCTGACCTTGCGTACCCTCTTGGCCTTTTGGCTCGCTACGTGGCTCCTGGTCGGCACCGAAAGGTGCACATGGATGCTGCAAAGAGGGTACTGCGCTACTTGTGCAGTACATCGGGCATGGGGCTCGTGCTTGGAGGACGGAGCGACGTTGTCCTCACTGGGCACTCAGACGCTTCTTGGGTTGACGACCAGGCTACGCAGCGGTCGTCACAGGGTTACACCTTCAGCCTTGGCTCTGGCTCTGTTTCTTGGCGTTCTACTCGCTCGTCTTCTGTTCTCAGCTCCAGTTGTGAGGCTGAGATCTACGCCACAGCCATGGCTGCTCAGGAGTTGCGCTGGCTCACCTACCTGCTGACCGACTTGGGAGAGAGGCCTCGTTCTCCTCTAGTTCTGTACGTCGACAACAAGGCCGCCATTGCCTTGTGTCAGGAGCACAGACTGGAGCACAGAACGAAGCACATCGCTCTGCGTTACTTTCTGGCTAGAGGGTTGCAGCAGCGTGGTCAGCTTCGTCTTGCTCACGTGGCCACCAGGGCCAACACTGCTGATGTATTCACCAAGGCACTTCCGCCTGGTGATCATCAGCGCTTTTGTACTTTGTTGGGCCTCGTGCCTACGTTTCCTCACTTGCTGTAGGCTTTGCTTGTACTGTGATCTATGTATATATACCTGCATGCTTGCTCTTGCTAGGTAGTGATCACTGTACTGTGTTGTTGCATATATACCTCTGCATGTGAACTGGCCTTGTAGCCCTTTGCTTAGGCTCAGAATGCGTGGTGACTTTGTGATCCACCCTGAGCTTGCTTTGCCTTTCTTGACTGGTCCTGTGACCTCTTGTTCTCCCCCATTTTGCCTATGGGGGTGTGTCAAACATATATGCTGCTTATTGTGTAGGCTGTAGTGGGGTAGCCCATATGGGGTACAACCCAGTTAGGGTTTCCTACTTGTACCCATCATGCCTCTAGTTCATTCATTCCTGCCTAGACTTATGACACTAAATCCCTCTTGGTTGGAATGTTAATAAAGGGCATCAACCCTAAACACATTGTCGCGTGGTGTTTAGGGTTGATGCCAGGGCCCACGATATCAGGGCAAAACATCCTGATTACCCTGATTGTCCTGATTTCAAGATGCGGTTTTGAATTTGCCCTGTGATTTCAGAATGGTGTCAATTTTTACCCTGTGGTCTCAGGATGTTGTAATTTGAAATGCCCTGGAAATTCAGGATGGTCGTGATGTTCTTCCCTGTAGCTTCAGGATGAATGAAGAGGCTTGCCCTGAGCATGGGGGGGGGGGGGGGGGGGGGGGGGGGGGGTGGGGGATTCATGTTCCCGGGGAAAATTTTCCCCGTGAGTTTTTTCCCCTGTGTCTTTTTCCCGCCTTCGAATGATTCCTTTGACAGCTCCGATCCCCCGCAACGCACCAACCAAACCCATCGCTCTCGTCTCGTTGTGTAAGGTTTGTTTCAGTAGGCATGGGTAAGGGCTGGTCATAGGTCAGAGTGGGGTTTGGTGGGTTCGGAGTTTTCCGCATTGCCTGCATCAGCTGAAGGAGGCAGCTACAGGTTTCCGGTTCGCCTCAGCATGCGTTGGGCGGGGCCGTGGCATGGGCATCGTAGGGAGTCGAGCGGGTTCGGAAGGTTTCCTTTGCTTGGATTGAATCAAGACCCTGAACACTCGTTTTTTTGCCCTGATAGGCCAGGATTAATTTATGCAGAAGCCCTGAAACTACAAGAAGGCTTTAAAAAATTGCCCTGACAAATCAGGGCATTTTTTAATTTCTGTAAAGGTGCCCTGAGGCCTCAGGGTGCCCCAAATCCTAGCACGGGGCCTCGTTAATGCCCTTGCAAACTTGCCATCCGATAGGGATTTAGTTTTGTGCTTGCTGCCAGAAGACAGCCGATGAAAACAGTCTTGCATGATGTGCGGAGAAGGCGAGTTCTGAGTCAGCACAATAACTCTTCCGCCTCAGAAGCGGATCAGCGGAAAGTGTGCGCAAGCTGAGATGAAAGTCCCTCGAAAGAGGGACAGTTACAGTAAGCATCCTGGAAAACTAACGACTTGTTGCGACCCACATGGATTGGGTCGACCACCCCTCGATCCTGAATTTTGAGGAAGGCTGCGTCGTGGGTCTAGCCGACCAGGTCGAGCCAATCCGACCCGGTTGGGTCTGCCCGACCCGGATCGACCAAGTTGGGTCAACCAGGCCGACCAAACTCAACCCAATCGAGCTGGAGCAGGTTACTCGAGCATGCGAACTCTAGGGTTCTTACGCAGAGGTCGCCTCAATTTCGCCGCAAAGATTGATACCCGGTAATTTCGCCACGAATTTCCCAGCCCACCATCCCCCCGCGCGGCAACTGTTTTCCCGTTACCTCGAGGATGCACGGAAATTGACGGGAAATTCCTTGATTTCCCGAGTCGCGTTTCTGAAGATCTGGTCGGATTGGGTTTATCTGACCAGGCCGAGCCGACCCAACCCAATCTCTTTGGGTCGCAACACGTCGTAAAACCTCGTTTTTTTTTATTCTGCACTGCAGCACCAAAGCTTCTTTCAGAAATCTGATACACACGATGCTCAACCCCTGTGCGCGAATTTTCCCTGCACTGGATGGAAAGTCTGCACCCGTATTTTTTGGACCAGCCAGTTGCACCCACATTACAAGCCCCCCGAGCAAGTTGCAGTGGTTATGAACCAATAATAGCAAAGAGACCAAAGTCAAACTGAAGATACCGAAGTCAAAATGTCAACGGATAAGTTACAAGTTTTTTATAAGCCCAATTTTGCTAGCTGAGAATTGACGAAAGCTGTGCAAAATGCAATACACAAGATGCCCAACCCCTGCACGCGAAATTGCCTCGCACGTTCCAGAAACCTTGCACACGAAGGTTTTTTCCCGGGCAGTTGCACCCACGTTACAAGCACGTCAACCAATACGAACCACAGAAACAGAAGAGACCGAAGTCAAACAGTCAACGGTGAGTTACAAAATTTTGCTATAAGCCCTTTTTGCCCGATGCGAATTGACGAAACCTCCACGAAATGCATGAATCACTTAAGCGCCCCCTTCACAAGGCAACCTTGGGTTAGTCAAACGGACATCGTGTGTATCAGGTCAAACGAGGGGACTCAAACGAGCATCAGGTCTCGATTCGGTCAAGAAGATTTCAGGATTCGGGGCATCAAATGGGACTAGCACCCATCAAATATGCCTCAAATTCATACTACTACTGCAATTCGAAACTACAGATGCAAACCAGTAGCAAATCTCTGGAGATTGTAAGTTACCACACAGTTCCCACTTTCTGGGCCTTCCGTGGAACCTTGCCTCGTGCACCTCAACAGTCTCAATTCACATGGGTTTGAGAACTAATTCCATGGGCTGACTGGGGGGAAGGGTGATGCCGCTGTGTATTTCATGGGTGCTCCTCCGACATCCAACCAACCCAAACCAAACCTGCTTCTTTCTGCCCAAATCCAAGGATTCGACCTTCTTGCGTTGAGCAAAAGATTTACAGTATCACCTCCCACCCAAGGTGCATCTGCCACGTTATTCGTCATTGACCTTCAAGGGCCTGCTGCTGACTCACATCCCTAGTCCTCCCATTTCTTTCTCACGCGCTCTGATGATCCCATGATCCCATCACATCCCATCTCTCACGCCCCATCCCCCCATTCCCTTGTTTCCGTCATTTCACCACCAATTGTCCAACTCTCCCACCAACCCTCCACTCACCAGCCCCACCACACCCCCTCTCTCCCTCACACTCCCCCCCTCTCACTGTACGTACGCACCCCTCCTCCTCGTCAAATCCTTCCGGTGCATGCAGCGCCCCTGCACAGCTGTCAGCGTTCCCCCCGCGTCAACTTCAAGTTCGTGGGTCGTTACATCCATGATGTAACTCGCCGCTGCTGTGCCAGGAACATGCGTGTCAACTTACGTCGCACAGTGGAGTGGACGTATACTGTACTTGTACCTCTTTCGATCCTGTCGCGTAAATTCGCATCGCACAGACGCGTAAATCATATGCAGTGTGTAAATCATCTACAGCGGCCCCAGTTCCTAGCAGTGTCAGTTCCGCGCAAGTAGTTTCGGTTATCAAATCTTTGACCCTACCGTAGTTGAAGGAAGTCACCTGCCCTTTTCTACCCGCTCAGCCCGTTTTCGCATTTCCTTATTCCGGGTTCTTGACGCCCTTTTCTTACTTCTCTAATATAACCGCGTACGCGTTTCGACGCTATCTAGCGAGCCGCTAAACACCTATGTGAACCTTCCCGTTATCGCTACACGGCTGTAGGATTTCTTGTAGTCAGGGGATTGTCGAAACGCGGCGACGTTTAGTCGGCGAAGTTCTTTTTGTTCATAGTGGTTACGCCATGTCGTGGGCTGGAGGCGCGGACTCGCAGTCGCTCGCGTTTCTCTGCGCGAGCATGAACGATCCGATGGCGGCTCTCGCGGCGTTCGATCAGCAACACAACCAGCAACAGCAGCAGCAACAGCACCAGCACCAGCAGCAGCAGCACCAACAACAGCAACAGCACCAGCAGCAACGCGCGGCGTCCTTTGCAGGAGGAGGAAACCATCGCTCTTTGTCCGGTTCGCCCGAAGAAGCTCTTGCCACGTCAGCAGCACCTGATGTACATAACTCTTTAGGATTAGGAGCGGCTGGCTCGGGTTCTAGTAGGTCTGTCCGTGTTGATCATCTCCGGTCGAATGGATTAGGTTTGGTGTCGAACCTGGCTGGAGGTTTGGACCTCGGTCAGGCGATGAGCTCGAGCCTAATGGCTGGCGCGGGAGGTGCACGTGTCAACAATTTATTGGCCATGGACGACGCGAGTCTAGCTGCAGCAGTAGCTTCGGGGAAGATTCCACTCAGGAGCAGCGGGAATCCCGTTGCGAGCACCAATGCTGCTGGCACTGCGGCGGCGGCGGCGGCGGCTACAGCCGCTACAGCCGCGATGCGGAGCGCGCTTGCTAGCAGCGCTACTGCGCGTCGTAGCGGGCTCGGGGGAGGGGTAGGGGGAGCTCTGTCGGGCGCGCGGGGAGGAATGGGCGCAGCCGCGCAGCTGAACGGGGACGGGGGAAGGTTTGATGTCGGAGGGGCGCAACAGCAGGCGGAGTTTCTCCTGGCTGCGGGGACGGCGGCGAAGCAGGCGGATTTCCGCATGGGCGGGGGGGCGGCGCAGCAGCAGCAGCAGCAGGCGGAGTTTCTCATGGGCGGAAGGGCGGCGGCGCAGCAGCAGGGAGATTTCCAAATGGGCGGCGGGGCAGCGGCGCAGCAGCAGGCGGACTTCCTTCTGCTCCAGGAGCTTGCGGGGCAGCAGGCGGCAATGCTGGGGGGAGCGCAACTGGCGGGGGGATTTCCAGGAGGTACGCGAGTGTTGATTGCTGATATCGCAACGAGTGATTTGTAGCTTTTGTGTGATTTTTTTTTTTTTTTTTGTTTTTTTTTCCATGCGCGTTATAAGTCTTTCCAGGAGGTATGCGAGAGTGCGTTGTAGCTTTTTCAAAAGGTAAATTTTGGGCCCCCCCTCCCACTCCGCCCTTCCCGGGTCTTTAGTCGACATCTCCGCGTTTTACGGCGGGGGCGGGGAGGCGGCGCGCGCGTCGATGGCGGAGATGGAGGCGAAGGCGCTGGCGCAGTCGCGCTCGCACAGCGAGGCGGAGAGAAGGCGGAGAGAGCGCATCAACCAGCATTTGGCAACGTTACGCGCGCTGCTTCCCAGCTCTAGCAAGGTGAGATGGAGGCGAAGGCGCTGGCGCAGTCGCGCTCGGACAGCGAGGCGGAGCAGAAGCGGAGAGAGCGCATCAACCAGCACCTCGCCACGCTACGCGCGCTGCTTCCGAGCTCCAGCAAGGTACGGTTTTTGAGTGTTTTGAGACGTCTCAAAGCGCGCTGCTTCCGAGCTCCAGCAAGGTACGGTTTTTGAGTGTTTTGAGACGTCTCAAAACGCGCTGCTTCCGAGCTCCAGCAAGGTACGGTTTTTGAGTGTTTTGAGACGTCTCAAAACGCGCTGCTTCCGAGCTCCAGCAAGGTACGGTTTTTGAGTGTTTTGAGACGTCTCAAAACGCGCTGCCTCCGAGCTCCAGCAAGGTACGGTTTTTGAGTGTTTTGAGACGTCTCAAAACGCACTGCTTCCGAGCTCCAGCAAGGTACGGTTTTTGAGTGTTTTGAGGCGTCTCAAAACGTGCTGCTTCCGAGCTCCAGCAAGGTACGGTTTTTGAGTGTTTTGAGACGTCTCAAAACGCGCTGCTTCCGAGCTCCAGCAAGGTACGGTTTTTGAGTGTTTTGAGACGTCTCAAAACACGCTGCTTCCGAGCTCCAGCAAGGTACGGTTTTTGAGTGTTTTGAGACGTCTCAAAACGCGCTGCTTCCGAGCTCCAGCAAGGTACGGTTTTTGAGTGTTTTGAAACGTCTCAAAACGCGCTGCTTCCGAGCTCCAGCAAGGTACGGTTTTTGAGTGTTTTGAGACGTCTCAAAACGCGCTGCTTCCGAGCTCCAGCAAGGTACGGTTTTTGAGTGTTTTGAGACGTCTCAAAACGCGCTGCTTCCGAGCTCCAGCAAGGTACGGTTTTTGAGTGTTTTGAGACGTCTCAAAACGCGCTGCTTCCGAGCTCCAGCAAGGTACGGTTTTTGAGTGTTTTGAGACGTCTCAAAATGCGCTGCTTCCGAGCTCCAGCAAGGTACGGTTTTTGAGTGTTTTGAGACGTCTCAAAACGCGCTGCTTCCGAGCTCCAGCAAGGTACGGTTTTTGAGTGTTTTGAGACGTCTCAAAACGCGCTGCTTCCGAGCTCCAGCAAGGTACGGTTTTTGAGTGTTTTGAGACGTCTCAAAACGCGCTGCTTCCGAGCTCCAGCAAGGTACGGTTTTTGAGTGTTTTGAGACGTCTCAAAACGCGCTGCTTCCGAGCTCCAGCAAGGTACGGTTTTTGAGTGTTTTGAGACGTCTCAAAACGTGCTGCTTCTGAGCTCCAGCAAGGTACGGTTTTTGAGTACGCGCTGCTTCCGAGCTCCAGCGAGGTACGGTTTTTGAGTGTTTTGAAACGTCTCAAAACGCGCTGCTTCCGAGCTCCAGCAAGGTACGGTTTTTGAGTGTTTTGAGACGTCTCAAAACGCGCTGCTTCCGAGCTCCAGCAAGGTACGGTTTTTGAGTGTTTTGAGACGTCTCAAAACGCGCTGCTTCCGAGCTCCAGCAAGGTACGGTTTTTGATTGTTTTGAGACGTCTCAAAACGCGCTGCTTCCGAGCTCCAGCAAGGTACGGTTTTTGAGTGTTTTGAGACGTCTCAAAACGCGCTGCTTCCGAGCTCCAGCAAGGTACGGTTTTTGAGTGTTGAGACGTCTCAAAACGCGCTGCTTCCGAGCTCCAGCAAGGTACGGTTTTTGAGTGTTTTGAGACGTCTCAAAACGCGCTGCTTCCGAGCTCCAGCAAGGTACGGTTTTTGAGTGTTTTGAGACGTCTCAAAACGCGCTGCTTCCGAGCTCCAGCAAGGTACGGTTTTTGAGTGTTTTGAGACGTCTCAAAACGCGCTGCTTCCGAGCTCCAGCAAGGTACGGTTTTTGAGTGTTTTGAGACGTCTCAAAACGCGCTGCTTCCGAGCTCCAGCAAGGTACGGTTTTTGAGTGTTTTGAGACGTCTCAAAACGCGCTGCCTCCGAGCTCCAGCAAGGTACGGTTTTTGAGTGTTTTGAGACGTCTCAAAACGCACTGCTTCCGAGCTCCAGCAAGGTACGGTTTTTGAGTGTTTTGAGACGTCTCAAAACGCGCTGCTTCCGAGCTCCAGCAAGGTACGGTTTTTGATTGTTTTGAGACGTCTCAAAACGCGCTGCTTCCGAGCTCCAGCAAGGTACGGTTTTTGAGTGTTTTGAGACGTCTCAAAACGCGCTGCTTCCGAGCTCCAGCAAGGTACGGTTTTTGAGTGTTGAGACGTCTCAAAACGCGCTGCTTCCGAGCTCCAGCAAGGTACGGTTTTTGAGTGTTTTGAGACGTCTCAAAACGCGCTGCTTCCGAGCTCCAGCAAGGTACGGTTTTTGAGTGTTTTGAGACGTCTCAAAACGCGCTGCTTCCGAGCTCCAGCAAGGTACGGTTTTTGAGTGTTTTGAGACGTCTCAAAACGCGCTGCTTCCGAGCTCCAGCAAGGTACGGTTTTTGAGTGTTTTGAGACGTCTCAAAACGCGCTGCTTCCGAGCTCCAGCAAGGTACGGTTTTTGAGTGTTTTGAGACGTCTCAAAACGCGCTGCTTCCGAGCTCCAGCAAGGTACGGTTTTTGAGTGTTTTGAGACGTCTCAAAACGCGCTGCTTCCGAGCTCCAGCAAGGTACGGTTTTTGAGTGTTTTGAGACGTCTCAAAACGCGCTGCTTCCGAGCTCCAGCAAGGTACGGTTTTTGAGTGTTTTGAGACGTCTCAAAACGCGCTGCTTCCGAGCTCCAGCAAGGTACGGTTTTTGAGTGTTTTGAGACGTCTCAAAACGCGCTGCTTCCGAGCTCCAGCAAGGTACGGTTTTTGAGTGTTTTGAGACGTCTCAAAACGCGCTGCTTCCGAGCTCCAGCAAGGTACGGTTTTTGATTGTTTTGAGACGTCTCAAAACGCGCTGCTTCCGAGCTCCAGCAAGGTACGGTTTTTGAGTGTTTTGAGACGTCTCAAAACGCGCTGCTTCCGAGCTCCAGCAAGGTACGGTTTTTGAGTGTTGAGACGTCTCAAAACGCGCTGCTTCCGAGCTCCAGCAAGGTACGGTTTTTGAGTGTTTTGAGACGTCTCAAAACGCGCTGCTTCCGAGCTCCAGCAAGGTACGGTTTTTGAGTGTTTTGAGACGTCTCAAAACGCGCTGCTTCCGAGCTCCAGCAAGGTACGGTTTTTGAGTGTTTTGAGACGTCTCAAAACGCGCTGCTTCCGAGCTCCAGCAAGGTACGGTTTTTGAGTGTTTTGAGACGTCTCAAAACGCGCTGCTTCCGAGCTCCAGCAAGGTACGGTTTTTGAGTGTTTTGAGACGTCTCAAAACGCGCTGCCTCCGAGCTCCAGCAAGGTACGGTTTTTGAGTGTTTTGAGACGTCTCAAAACGCACTGCTTCCGAGCTCCAGCAAGGTACGGTTTTTGAGTGTTTTGAGGCGTCTCAAAACGCGCTGCTTCCGAGCTCCAGCAAGGTACGGTTTTTGAGTGTTTTGAGACGTCTCAAAACGCGCTGCTTCCGAGCTCCAGCAAGGTACGGTTTTTGAGTGTTTTGAGACGTCTCAAAACGCGCTGCTTCCGAGCTCCAGCAAGGTACGGTTTTTGAGTGTTTTGAGACATCTCAAAACGCGCTGCTTCCGAGCTCCAGCAAGGTACGGTTTTTGAGTGTTTTGAGACGTCTCAAAACGCGCTGCTTCCGAGCTCCAGCAAGGTACGGTTTTTGAGTGTTTTGAGACGTCTCAAAACGCGCTGCTTCCGAGCTCCAGCAAGGTACGGTTTTTGAGTGTTTTGAGACGTCTCAAAACGCGCTGCTTCCGAGCTCCAGCAAGGTACGGTTTTTGAGTGTTTTGAGACGTCTCAAAACGCGCTGCTTCCGAGCTCCAGCAAGGTACGGTTTTTGAGTGTTTTGAGACGTCTCAAAACGCGCTGCTTCCGAGCTCCAGCAAGGTACGGTTTTTGAGTGTTTTGAGACGTCTCAAAACGCGCTGCCTCCGAGCTCCAGCAAGGTACGGTTTTTGAGTGTTTTGAGACGTCTCAAAACGCACTGCTTCCGAGCTCCAGCAAGGTACGGTTTTTGAGTGTTTTGAGGCGTCTCAAAACGTGCTGCTTCCGAGCTCCAGCAAGGTACGGTTTTTGAGTGTTTTGAGACGTCTCAAAACGCGCTGCTTCCGAGCTCCAGCAAGGTACGGTTTTTGAGTGTTTTGAGACGTCTCAAAACGCGCTGCTTCCGAGCTCCAGCAAGGTACGGTTTTTGAGTGTTTTGAGACGTCTCAAAACGCGCTGCTTCCGAGCTCCAGCAAGGTACGGTTTTTGAGTGTTTTGAGACGTCTCAAAACGCGCTGCTTCCGAGCTCCAGCAAGGTACGGTTTTTGAGTGTTTTGAGACGTCTCAAAACGCGCTGCTTCCGAGCTCCAGCAAGGTACGGTTTTTGAGTGTTTTGAGACGTCTCAAAACGCGCTGCTTCCGAGCTCCAGCAAGGTACGGTTTTTGAGTGTTTTGAGACGTCTCAAAACGCGCTGCTTCCGAGCTCCAGCAAGGTACGGTTTTTGAGTGTTTTGAGACGTCTCAAAACGCGCTGCTTCCGAGCTCCAGCAAGGTACGGTTTTTGAGTGTTTTGAGACGTCTCAAAACGTGCTGCTTCTGAGCTCCAGCAAGGTACGGTTTTTGAGTACGCGCTGCTTCCGAGCTCCAGCGAGGTACGGTTTTTGAGTGTTTTGAAACGTCTCAAAACGCGCTGCTTCCGAGCTCCAG